GTGTTACTAGGCTTATAATGTTTTATTTACGAATCCTAACCTAGTAAAAAAATGATTCAATCGAAAATTTAGGTATTCATGTATTCAAGAAGATGTTTCAAACCATTCCTATAAAGAGGTCCACTTAAAATTTATTGAGAAGTGAAAGGATTTTGAATAATAGTAAAAGAAACTCTTGATAACAAACTTTTTGTTGAGAATTATTAGTTTCAGTTAATTACTATATAAAAGAGAATGTGAATAGAAAAGAAATGTAAGGTGTCCTTTTTATATTTATATGATTATTCAAGATGATCATGAACTAAGTAAACATGTCTAGATAATATGTTTAGTTGAAAAGAAATCAAAAGAAGATTTTGCCCAAAAATCTATTCCCATTATTAGTGATTAGAAAGATGGTCTCTTTTTTGCAAAATGATTATTCTTTAATCTCATCAAAAGAAATATACATGGAAGAAAATCAATGAGAGATCAAATCAATGTTATCGGTTATACATTTTTCTAATGATAAAGTTAAACACTTAAAAGTTAATTGTCTTCTCACTTTCAATACCTATTAAATTTTAATAAACTACTTAAAGAAACTGGTAGAATAACCTTCACTGCATTCAATGAACTAACCAAATCAAAAGTAAGGACTTATAATAGCTGTTACTGTTAAAAAAGCATCCTGTCGTAGATACACTAAAACGATTAAATGAGTTAAATTCACTTAGTATTGTTTGTTTGAACCTTCCCATTGATGTTTTTAGGACTGCAACTGGTCAATACTCACAGTTTGCATATATGCCAATTAGAGACTGACCAGTTGCAGTCCTAAAAACATCGATGGGAAGATTCAAACAAACAATACTAAGTGAATTTAAACTTCACCACATTGCACAAGCAAGCGGTTATCAGGACTCAGTGATGGAGTGGATATATCGCGATGGTGTTTGAAGCGAGTGGTACTGGGTTCGAGTCCCAGAGTGAACATCAACTCTGAAATGCATGTACATCCGCCTGACAAGTCCCAAATAGGACGAAACGCGCGTCCTGGATTCTACTCTTAGCCACTATCAATCTTTGAGTAATTGTTTACCAAACTAGATATCATCTTCATTATATTCTATCTACTGCGAAACATTGCTGTTAGTCATTGATTTGTAGCATACAAACAAACTATGTTTTAGTTTAAATTCCTTAAACAATACATTTTAATAACCGATTGTATGTTTGTAACATGCTTCGAAATCATTAGTTTCTCTACTTTAACAGTCATAAAGTATGTAAATGCAACCATTTTATTACCATTTGAGAACTACGATATTTTATGCATCTTTCAAAATATCATGGTTATCGTCATTGATCAAACTGTCCCATTCTTTTTGGACGATGACCCACCTTGTGAGGTAAAAGTCCTCAAGGAACAGCAATTTTTGTAGCTCCACAACTAACAAGACTTATGAAACCTAAAATTCTTTCGAATTGTGGACGTTAAGTAACTCTGTCTTTGATCATCGTCGTCTCCAAACGATGACCAACATCAAGTGGAAACACCATGTTCGCAATGAGGAGGGTCGGGAACGTGTGTTCGGACACAGTGACGATAATTCAACTAGTATCACCCTCTTGAATCACTAACTACGATATCCTGGATATGTTTCACAACTGTTGTCCCAGCGAATTCCGCGGTGTGGATTATTTACCGACGCTGGAACTGGTTGGAAAAAGCGGAGGAGTGGTCAGTGTATGACATAGTGTCGTGGTATGAAAGAAACCTGTATAAGAGTGGCTTCTCTCGGTGCTTTACGACTTTCTTTTTAGGCTCCTTTCGATAGTGTAACACAGTGGCTTGAGACGTTATCAGATATGGCTTAGAATAGAAACCAGTGACCATCCCTCTGTAACTTTCTATTCCTTTTTCATAAAAATGGAGGTAACTTCTTGTTATTTTATTCATTTCTATAAAATTTAAATAAATATTACTTGACTATGAGAACAAAACATATTGGATACATATTAATTGGAGATAGGAAAGTGTCAAATGTTAAATCAGTTAACGTGTGAGAATTGAATCATATGACGGATTAACTACTGGGTAATTAGTATAAAATCAAGTAACAAAAAAACCTCAACTAATTACAGATTTACATATGTATGTCCAAAGATAGCAAAATGTTAAGTCGTTAGATATAATGAGATAAAAACAAAAAGTAAAATTGTGGATTGTTTGAAGTTAGATATTAACACCGTTGCATGCCGACCGGCTCAGTGGTCTATTGGTTAAGGGCTTCGGCTCGAGACTGGTAGGTCCTGGGTTCGAATTTCGCGGGTGCGGGATCGTGGATGCGCACTGCTGAGGAGTCCCATAATGGGATGAAACGGCCGTCCAGTGCTTCCAGCTTTTCCATGGTGGTCTAGCTTCAATTGACTCATGATTTCAACTGTGAAAATTCTAAATTATCCACAAAACCCCCCTCTGAAAAAGTAAAGAGACAATGCAAAAATAATGGTCCGTAATAAAAAATATATGGTTAGAAGACTAATTTATTTATGAAGATTGTGATACCGATAATCAATTTAAATTGCATAGTGTTATATCTTGTGGCCGAGTGGATGCCTAGTTAATGTGTGACTTGATGAGACCGCCAATCAGAGAGCTGAGAATTATCGACTGGAACAGTGATATACGAAACCGTACGAGCAGTCTAGAGTACGTATCGGTCCTGCTTCTGCCTAGCCCATCCAGTTAAGTCCAAAATTTCAATAACAGCCTCTGCAATATGAATCATTAATCACAAACATACTGGGTTTATATACCAACCAAACAGACCATATAGTACCATAAAATACAAAATAACATTTGTACAATATTTAGCCAAATGTGGCTGTGAATAGTAATCAATAAACTGATGATAACTCAAGAATCGTATAATAATAGTTCAAAGGTCAAAATAAAGCTAATGATAAGAGGAACACGAATATGATTAGGTTAGTTACTTAACAATTATACAATAGGAAATATACATATTACATTGGTCTACAAATAGTCCTCAAAAGTTACCAATCACAATTCTCTTCGTGATGCAACACATAGATACAGTGAATTATGATCATTTCATCTGTGAAATTTTATTTTAAACAATCAAACTAGAAAATGTAACTATGTAGTTAACTTTCATGTAGAGATGTTAAGAAACTTTAGAAATATATATATTGCTCTAACCATCAATTGGACAAGTAATATGTTCCAATTATGACGACTGTGTCAAAATGTTAACTGTTTCAAAAACGATGTTTCATCAATCATTTTTGGTGAATTTTAGATACCCGTTTCATTTTTATTTAAGAACTTTTTGGAATAAACATTTACAATTTTAGAAAACATCCTGTAACCCAAAGCAAAGAGCATTTTTCAAACTATTCTCTTCAAACTAACCAACTTTATTGTAAGTTTACTGAAGTTTCAAATAAGCTAACTATATATTGAATAATATTCTATTGTCCCTTGACATCCAAACGAAAATTATATCACTGGACTTTCATAAAATGTTTTATGTATTTCAAATAACAGAGTTTGTAACATCTATATGACTGGTGAATGGCTGATGCATCAAAATTATCAGATGCTGATTATGGATCATAGTTTGTATCGGCTGATACATATCAATAATGAATGTATAGATTTTAAAGAGAACTAATGTTCAGCAGAAGATTTTAATACATGTTCACGACTAATATAGTCAAAAATGTTAAAACTAAGCCGTACAAGTCATTATTGTTTCATGGATCGAATGTAATAATAATAATAATAATAATAATAGTGATAATAATAGACCAAGAATCATCACAACTACTTTTTAAGCAAAAGTGATAAACACATTGTATTGTTTGGTTGAGTCTTCCTATTGATGTTTAGAAGTGAAATTGATCAGTCTCTTATTGCCATATGTGCATACTGTGAGGACTGCCTCAATATTGCCTGGAGTTACAAGCATCATAAGCAAAGATGGATAGTGACTAGAAGTGGAATCCAGGACGCATGTTTCGTCATATTTGGGACTCGTCAGCTGAATGAACCTACATCTCAGAGATGTTGTTCACTCTGAGATTCGAACACAGTACCGTTCGCTTCAAACCATGACGTTAACCACTTAGCTACTGAGTCCTGATAACCGCTTGCTTGTGCAATGGGATGAAGTGGATAGCACGATGCCTGAGATTCAGGTAAATCCAGCTGACGAGTTCTAAACCAAACGAAACTTGCGTCCTGGATTTCCCTACTAGCCACTATTCATTTTCACTTAAAATGTGTACAAAAATGATATGTGAATGTGATATTGATAAATTCATAATAAGGTAAATAAGTAAACAACAAACATTAATAGTAATATAACTTGAAAGAAATCAGTTATTGTTAAAGAATATAAATTTGAGAACTGTTCATATTATTGCTTAGTTTCTATGTGTTGCCAATTTTTTTATTATTTTTAGTACATCTTCAGTGTTCCCAGTATCGTTTAGTTAAAATTAAAATTAAGTATAAATTAAAACTTTTTTACATGGTACCACTGAAATTTTTCGGCACGTTGGAATCAACAATAAAAAAGGGATATTCAACCAATATGTGACATGGAGATGAACACTTAGCTGTTACTTACTATAACAAAATTAAGTCATGAAACTTTCATTTAATTCTTTTCCTATGTAATCAAAGTTATGAATATATATATATATATATATATATATATATATATATATATATATATATATATATATATATATATATATATATATATAGTATAAAGTTGATTAGTAGGCACTGTGTTTAGTTTTTACCCTATTTCTTTTATAATATTAAACCAATGAATATTACTTAATTTGTCAGTTTTTTTTTCTTCTTTCGATTTAAATTATTTATTTCTATTTTGAGGACAACTGTTGATGAATCACTCCAAAACTATCGGATATATTGGATTGTCCTAAATTGATGATAATTATGTTGACATTTCGCTTACCGGTGGTAGGGCATAGAAAGATATTATAGCCAAACATGAACATCCTGCAATAGTTTTGCCCAAACCAGATTTTGGTACACTATCACCATAACCTACAGTACATAATGTTATCTAATTTATGTATTTAAAGTAAGGAAAAAAGGAGAGTAAAATGATGTATGTATACATATATATACATATAGATCAACAAATATATTACAGTTTTCTTCATTAAAATCGTTTAAAAGAAGCAATTTAATAATCAATAAAATAAAAAAAACAAAACAAACCGACTATTTCAGTAAAAGTGCTGGTAAATAAAATATTGTACAAGATTGTATTGATTTCTTTAATCTAGTAAATGATAGGCAAACTGTAATCGTTAACTATTGTAAAAGAAAGATCAATTCATCATGTTTAGATTATATAATCCATATGGTTTTTATCCTCTACTAATATTACGTAACATTATAAAATTTTAAAGGAAATCAATATGTATCATATTTCTATAGAAATACATGTTACTTAGGAGAAAATGTCAATTCAGTTTTATTTTAAACTTACCTTGATCTTTTTCGATTGTTAACAATATGAGAAGATTAATTAATATAAACACAAGGATAAAAGAATATATATTCAACGATATGAATAGAATATTCATTTTATTCATTCAGACGTCATAACTTGCATAGTTTACTTTGACTAGTAATGGTATAGGAATTAGACAAATGATCATATCTGATTATTTATTATAAACAGTTTTAGTGTAAACTTAACCGAATGTAGAAAAGTATATGTAAGAGTTGAAAAACGAAACGTTTTCGCGCGGTAAATGTAACATGGAATGAATTTTGATTTCGTCACTTCTTCTCTCAAGAAGTGACTTACATTAAGTTATGAAATGTCAGAAAACTTAATTTTTCTACTCACTAAGATATTATAAATATATTAATTCATTTATTAAGTGCATTTGTATACCTTTGTGGTATGTGCTGCTGATGTCGACAGATATAAGTAGTATGTATCATCAATCAAAAGTTAGGTTAGGATGATCAAAGAAAAAAGAACGAGAACAAAGAATGATTGGCGTGCAAACGAAGGAACAGTAAAGTCTGAGATGATTAATTAACATTTTGCAAATGAAGTATTTATTGTTTGGTTCATAGATTTTACTAACAGATTCTGTAATTTTGTATTCAAATACATTCGACTGTCTCCACTTGTGTTTTCGTTTGCAGTATTTTATTTCGTCTAAGACTAGCTAATCTGAAGAGATTACAAAGATTCACCTGTCCAGTTCTAGTATCAAGCAGCTAATTCATTTAAATTAATTCCAATGTAAATGCTTTAGTAATGAATTAATTCAATATATCTTAATATAAGATTGTAAATATATTTTATTCGCTATACATTGTGAATGTAGTAACTTAAACTGTAATATAATCCAGAATCACTTCTTTTTTGAACTACTAATTAGGAGCTTTCATAAACGTGTTGAATATGTTCATATTACTCATCAATTGTATAGTTTATTATTGAAACGTTTCGTCAAATTACAATTACATTGGTGATATATGTTAATTTGTACATTTCTGTAAAGATCTAACCGGTTGAATACTTTGGATTTCATTAGTGAGCGTCGAATAAATAAAACTTATTATTATTATGTGTATAGTTTTTTTTAAACTTCATCAGAATAAATCTATCGCTTGAGTAATAATGAAAGCAAATATTGTTTTCTAGGTATATTTCATCAAGATGGATTTAATAATATACATTTTCAGAAGGGGGTTTTGTAGAGATTTTAGTAATTTCATATGGTTAAGATCATGAGTCAATTGAAACTAGATCACCATGGAAAACCTGGAAGCACTGGACGGCCGTTTCGTCCCATTGTGAAACTCCTCAACAGTACGCGTCCACGATCACGCCTCACGAGATTCGAACCAAGGACCTACCAGTCTCATGCCAGAGCACTTAATCGATAGACCACTGAGCCGGTCGGCATGCAACGGTGTTAATGTCTAACTTCAACCAATCCACAAAATTGTGCAACGATTCACCAATATCTTCAGTAGCTTGATATCTCCCAACAGACCCGATTAAACTCTACTAGTGAGGAGTCCTACAATAGGACGAAACGGTCGTCCAGTGTTTCCAGATTTTCCATGGTGGTCTAGCTTCAATTGGCTCATGATCTCAACTATACAATATACATTTCCTAAAAATACTCTGCTAATAAAGGCTAGTTAACGTATTTCAATCCTATATATTTGTTGTCAAAGATGATTGCCAATTATAACAAACGATTACTTTAAGTTGTTGTAAGTATCAATGATAACATTATCATCCTCGTTCATTAGAAGAAATTAGTTATCATAATTGTTCAGTAAGCTTATACTTCATTAACCTTTAACAAAATCATACATGAATCAATCAATAAAATGTATGAATTTTGAAGATAGTAGAAAAGGTAACAATATGCATCAACAGTATAAGTATTTATCATTAATTGTTTGTTGTATCTCGTATATTTTCATAGTTGATATCATGAGTCAATCAAAGCTAGACCATCATGGAAAACCTGGAACAACTGGACGGCCGTTTCGTCCTATAATGGGACTCCTTATCATTAACTATTGCTCATTGAAGATGTTAAATTTAATTGTGTTATCACTTATTGATTATCAAATGTATATTGATTAGATTCCTGAAATTTATGTTTATTTGTTTTTTTTTCAAATGAAAATAATGAAATAAAACAGTTAAACTCTTACTTAGAAAACATTATAAACCTATTTAATATCCATTAGGTAGTACTATAATTATAATAGGAAGAAAAAATAACAAACAAACAGAAAATCGATAATAAGTGAAACTAGAATAACAACTAAGTAGGTAACTAACTAACTAAGTCTAATGAAATGTAAAACATATACATGATTAACTGCATGAATAAAAACATTAAAATAAAACGGTTATATAAATAAATAAACAATTTACTTACTACACCCCACCATAAAGCATCAGCATATGTACGAATTTTTTCATTTTCTTTCTTTTCAACTAAAAATATTAAAAATGAACTGAATAGAAGACCTAAAAATCCAATATACACCGTTGTAAACAATTCCTAAATAAAGAAAAAAATAAAAAAAAATAGAGAAAAGATTAGAGGGAAAAATAAAGAAGATTAAATATAATCAAATGACGTAATATATTAGGGATGAAATATGGAACATAGAAACAACAAAAAAAAGGAAAATTATAGAAGCCTATTGGATAAGTAAACAAACACAGGAAAGAAAAAAGACACAACAACAATCATCATAATTACAAAAAAAAACACAGATATGATCGATTATTTTTTTGTATCATACAAAGGGATATCAGTATAGAATAAACTATACGTGATATATATGGACGAATTCTGTAGCTGGATGAATTATTATTATTATTATTATTATTTAAAGTTTTAAATTCATTTAGTATTGTTTGTTTGAACCTTCCCATCGATTGGTTAGGACTGAAATCAATCAGTCTCTTATTGGCATATGTGCATACTGTGTATATTGCCTCAATATAGCCTTAATTCACAAGAATGGTAAGCAAAGGTGGATAGTGGCTAGCAGTGGATAACGCGATGGTGTTTGAAGCGAAAGGTACTGGGTTCGAATCTCAAATAGGACGAAACGCGCGTCCTGGATTCTACTTACTATATTTAGACCTTTGTTTATATTTTATTCCCATTTGTTTCAAAACAAAGTTAAAAATCAAACTTATGGGTTCAGTATGTTTCTTTTTTTTGTTATTGCGTATTATGCATATGGAAATGAGGAATAAATTAATGGGAAAATTATAAATAAAATAAAAATCAAACGTAAATTGTTGTTGTTAATTGTTTCATCATATGATTTTGTAGAGAGAGATTTATTTTATTCAATCACAGACTGATGCTATCTATAGAATTATTGTTGTTCTTACTAACGTCCCTACCTTTCCGTCTCAATTTATCTGAAATGAAATAGTCATCTGTTATACTAATATTCATGGAATAATGCATCACGAATATATATATATATATATATATATATATATATATATATCACAAGATTACTAAGCAAAACGTTTATATAAATTAGTTTTAATCGATCAACTATGCATTTATATGCAATAGACTGGAGTAAGTCAGTAGAGACCAAGACGGTCACTTTCGAATCTTTCCTACACCTAATAGCTCTCTTATCTCCAAAACTAACCCTTTCCAACGTCCCTTTATCACCTCACACCGCTAGGGCAAACGATTCGAGTACACGGAACGTTATTCCTAGTCTCCTGAAACCACGCTCTAAAATACATGTAGGAACTTTTAGCGTCCTAACATGTGCCAAATACGACAACAGCCTCCTTATCTAGGACTTTAGAATCTCATACTATCGATGTGTGCTGCGTATCCGAAACGCACATGCAGGATCCGAGTAACGACATTCATTTGACTTCCCATATCAAAATAAAGAACGAACTCGATTAACGCTTCGTGTATCTGGAAACCCTGATGCTGCTTCCCGTGACCTCGCTGGCTTTCGTATAGCATCCCATCTGGCTCTGAACATAATAAAGAGCGGAGTCAACTTAAGCACAGGCTCATAAGAAGCCTACGCAATGATAGCGAACAGTGGTGGGTAGCGAAAGCAAGACAGTTGGATAAGGCAGTGGCAATCGGTCAGTCAGTTACAAGGTAGAACTTCTTACGTATGTACATCAGTTCGAGTTGCCACACCACATTAACACAGAGATGCAGTTGTCGATTCAAATCCCATTGTGGTAGAAATAGTAAGAGTATAAACAGTAATCCGAAGGATTAGGGTTTGAAGATGTTATTAAAGGAGTATAATCCACTGAAATAAATTTTTAAAGAGAAAAAAGATAGAGACATGAAGAATTCAAGAGATTAGAATTTGGTAGAACACAAAGAATGGATGCACCTTCGCCATTGCAAACGACTTTGAGCCATGTCATTCAAGGTCTCCAACCATCGACTGTTATCATGTCGCGGATCCCAACTAGGTAGTCTACTCCTACCAACATCGCTCAGTCCACTTATCAGTGACTTCATGGATTTGTGCCATGTATTTTGAAGAATCTAATTGTATACCATGAGGTTTTCTAATCACAAACTAATGGAAATTGAAGTGTAACGCATTTATTTGTAGAGAAAGACAATCTATTCCTTAGTTTTATTTTATTACTGACATTAGATTTAAATCGCCTACAATGTTGGTGTTCTTTTTTATTACAAATTTTCAAAACAGGGTTTTGTGGAGATTGTAATAAGTGTAATGGGTGAATTCATCAGTTTATATAAGCTAGACCACTATTGAAAACCTTGAAGTAGTGAAAGCTCTTTTCGTCGTAGTATAGCACTCCTCAGCAGTGCGCATTCACGATCCTGCACGTGGGACTCGAACACAGGACCTCTGGTCTCGCGCGCGAACATTCGACCTCTAGACCACTGAGCCGGCCGCCATCCAACGGTGTTATTGTTGAATTCGTTTATAGTGTAAAATATATTTTTAACACGTGAAAGAATGATTTTCTATAAATTTATTCTCTTCACTTCTTTCACAATCACTATCAAGAAATATGTGCGAAGTTTTTGTGACCAATAATGTTTTCATGAAGGTTCAAATATTTTTACAGCATTGATATTTTGAACAAAACTTTTACGCAACAAGAATGGCTTAGTAATTTTGCATTTTTTTATTAACCCGTCATTGATTAGCTCTAACAGTATGTCTTATCAATAGGTTACACTAACTGACAATATTGTTGCTAATAGTATCATATCACTTAGGCTTTAGGGCTAAATGTTGTAATATGGCAATTAGTTTGAGTAATTTATCATCATAGCTCATACACTTTTATATTTTGTCTTCGGGGAGAACCAGTTAGAAATTTCACACCTAGGTTCATTGCTACTTGGGACTCATCAGTAAAAGATTGAACTCAAATGAGAAATAGATTTTTCTGTAATTCTTTTGGGATATAATTGAAAATGACTATATCTTCCCTCATTGACGCATGGTAATTTTGAGTAATGCTCATACTGAAAACTTTCTTTGTATAAACGAAACGTAATTTAGTGTAAAAATTGCATTCAAAGTCCCATGTAAACTTTTGCGTTTCACTTTCTGATTAATCCGAAAATCTCAAATAATCACGACTAATAACATGTGGAATTTTCATATAAGCTAATAGATGATCGATGTCGAATTACTGATCAATATGGACCATTTGGTTGATATGTATTTTTTAAGTTCCAACACCTTTAAGTAGTCTGTGATACAACTGGGGTTGCTTTAGTAATAATGAAGTGCTCGGATAATCCGTTATTTTCATTTCAATTTTGAGATGATGAAAAGTTAATTAAATTTTCTTCGTAATAACTTATTTCTACCTCTATCCCTAATCATTAAACGGGATTATGTTTTTAAATCAATAATACAAATACTTTTACTTACTTGTCTATGTGCCCATACAACGGATGCTAATAATTTAAATGATCCACCTCTACGATCCATTCGTATCATACGTAAAATCTGAAAGAATCTCAATCCTCTTAGTGCACTTGCTGCAAACATATTTCTATCACTGTCTACAGCAAGAACGACTACACTGGCGACAATAACAATGACATCTATTAAAGATCAATTGAAAAAAAAGGAGTTTCCATTATTATTATAAAAAAGAATAGCAAAATAAAATATACTTCAAGTATTTTTGTAATTGGCCAAGCACTATATGAATGTTAATAAAGTTATTTTCATATATATCACACGGATATACATTCAGATGATTGAATCTATTGATTCATTACACTAAAGTGATGATTGATTATAATGAAACTTTGAAAACATTTACATTGGCACGTATTAGTTTATAACCCTAAATAGTCAGTTGATTTTCATAAAAAGTCAACCAAAAGAAACTTATTTTATAGAATACGTAGTTTGCAGAACTGGCTAGTCATTAAAAGTCATATAGAATTAAATAGCATTTAATTCCAGTTTGGAATTTCTGTAAAACATGTTCACATGTCAACTCTATGGATTATACCATGTGACAATAACCCTTCGCAGTGTGCTTTTTAATTGTAGAAATCTGTATATAAATTGAACTTTGATGAACCTTACTGCTGAAAAAAATTTTCAGTAGAATTTCAAAAATTCTTCTGGAATCTTGATGTATGTTTGTTCTCTGAGCTGGATGGTTGTCGTTCAGAAGGACGATGAAAGCTCCGCAACCAAACCATCCAGCTTAGAGAACAAGCCTACATCAAAATCACCCACATGAGCTACAAATCTTCTCCACCATCTCTTCTGGAATCTCTTAATTAAATTCTGTATAATGAATTATAGGACAGAAAGTTTATAGAGTTTGTTCAATTAGCTAATTATCTTTAAATTGGGTAGAATGAACATATGTCAATTTCATTATTCCCCATTACGTTTATTAAAGAGCTTAGATTGTATTTGCCTAAAAAGTTATATCATTCGGAACTGTTAAACTCCTATATTCATCAAAACATGTATTAATAATATACAATCAATGAGTTTCCATACTGACCTACTCTATGTTATACAAGATTAGAGAAATGAAAAAATAAATAAATGAATGATCTATGAATTATAAATAATTTATCCCTACATATATATGTGGATGGCTACAGGGAATTGAAGCATAGAAACGGAAATAAATTTATTTCTTTTAAAAAACATATTTGAGTTTGTTAGTTTTATAACTTAATTGTATCTATGCTACGAAAGTAAATCAAAGAGTTGATATCTGTTAAGTGAGTAACTAATAAAAGTACAAATTTTAAATTAGATATCCACAATGTTAAATGTAGATCATTATAATCAATATTAAACTGTTTGGCGATAAATAAGTTAAGTTCATTATGAATCGTTTAACTCCGCCTGTAGCTCCTCCAGGGGCTACTGCCGGTCCCAAGCCCGGGTAAAGGAGGAGGGTTGGGCATGGGGTTAGCGACCCCATCCCGTAGAAAATCAACTCGCTAAAAAAACGCTAACCAGAAAAAATCATTCAAACCATTCAAACTCTGCCCTGGGAGTAGAAGGAAAAATGACGTCTCATGATGAAAGCCGAGTTCCTTCGGAAGTCATGAGGCCGATGCACCTTCTTACAACCAGAGCGACAATTTTTATAGGTACATGGAATGTCCGGACAATGTGGGAGACTGGCAGAGTCTTCCAAATTTCTGCAGAAATGAGGAAATACAACCTGGAAGTGCTTGGAATCAGTGAAACACATTGGACGCAGGTTGGAAAACAACGACTGTCTTCAGGGGAACTTCTGTTATACTCCGGTTATGAAGAAGAAAATGCCCCACATACACAAGGAGTGGCACTGATGCTGTCTAGAAAAACACAAAATGCACTTATTGGATGGGAATCTCATGGACCGAGGATCATCAAAGCCTCCTTCAGAACAAAGAGAGAGGGCATTACAATGAACATCATCCAATGCTATGCGCCGACCAACGACTACGATGAAGACGCTAAAGACCAATTCTACAATAGGCTGCAGTCAATCTTCGAGAAGTGCCCAACCAAGGACCTGACCATTCTAATGGGAGATTTCAATGCCAAGGTTGGAAAGGACAACACTGGATACGAAGACGTCATGGGACAATATGGACTGGGAGAAAGGAACGAAAACGGTGAGAGATTTGCAAACCTATGTGCCTTCAATAAACTGGTCATAGGTGGCACCATATTCCCACACAAAAACATACACAAAGCCACTTGGATTTCACCGGATCACACTACACAAAATCAAATCGACCATGTCTGCATCAACAAAAAGTTCAGGAGGACGATGGAGGATGTGAGAACCAGAAGAGGAGCTCATATAGCATCCGATCACCATTTGCTGGTCGCCAAGATGAAACTAAAACTCAAGAAGCACTGGACAATGGCGCGGACAACATCACAAAAGTTTAACACGGCCTTTCTTCGAGATGCTGACAAACTCAACGAATTTAACATAGCCCTCAGCAACAGGTTCGAGGCCTTTCATGACCTACTCAATGGAGAGGGAACCACCATAGAGAGCAGCTGGAAAGGTATCAAGGAGGCAATCGTTTCAACATGTCAGGAGGTTCTGGGCCAAAGAAGCACCATCACAAGGAATGGATCACTGTTGGTACACTGGATAAAATTGAAGAAAGGAGGAACAAAAAGGCAGCAATCAATATCAGCCGAACAAGAGGGGAAAAAGCCAAGGCACAAGCCGAATACACAGAGGCAAACAAGCAAGTGAAGAGGAGCATCAGGACCGACAAACGTAAATATGTGGAAGATTTAGCGATGACAGCGGAAAAGGCTGCAAGAGAGGGAAACATGAGACAACTGTATGATGCAACAAAGAAACTTGCTGGAAATTACCGTCAACCAGAAAGACCAGTGAAAAACAAGGAAGGCAAAGTAATCAACGATATTGAAGAACAACGAAACAGGTGGGTAGAACACTTCAAGTAACTCTTGAATCGACCAGCTCCACTGAACCCACCCAACATCGAAGCAGCACCCACAGACCTCCCAATCGATATTGGCCCACCAACAATTGAAGAGATCAGCATGGCCATTAGACAAATCAAGAGCGGCAAAGCAGTGGGACCAGACAACATCCCGGCAGAGGCACTGAAAGCAAATGTAGCAGCAACTGCCAAGATACTCCACATCCTCTTCAGTAAGATTTGGGACGAAGAACAAGTACCAACAGACTGGAAAAAAGGGCTTCTGATCAAAATACCAAAGAAAGGCGATCTCAGCAAATGCGACAACTACAGGGGCATCACTCTTCTCCCAATACCAGGAAAAGTCTTCAACCGAGTATTGTTAAACAGGATGAAGGATTCCGTGGACGCCCAACTTCGAGATCAACAAGCTGGATTTCGTAAGGATAGATCATGCACAGATCAAATCGCAACTCTGCGGATCATTGTGGAACAATCAATCGAATGGAATTCATCACTCTACATCAACTTCATCGACTACGAGAAGGCATTTGATAGCGTGGACAGGACGACACTATGGAGGCTTCTTCGACAGTACGGCGTGCCTGAGAAGATAGTCAATATCATACGGAACTCCTATGATGGACTAAACTGCCAAATTGTCCACGGAGGACAACTCACCGACCCGTTCGAGGTAAAGACCGGTGTTAGGCAAGGTTGCCTACTCTCACCCTTTCTCTTTCTCCTGGTGATCGACTGGATTATGAAGACGTCAACATCTGGAGGAATGCACGGGATACAGTGGACAGGCAGGATGCAACTTGACGATCTAGACTTCGCGGATGATCTGGCTCTTCTATCACAAACGCAACAACAAATGCAGGAGAAGGCGACCAGTGTAGCAGCAGCCTCAGCAGCAGTAGGTCTTAATATACACAAAGGGGGAAGCAAGACTCTGATACAATACAATATGCACCAATCGAACTGCACTTGACGGAGTAGCTCTGGAGGATGTGAAAACCTTTACATATGTGGGCAGCATCATCGATGAACACAGTGGATCTGATGCAGATGCGAGGGCGCGAATAGGCAAAGCAAGAGCAGCATATTTACAACTGAGGAACATCTGGAGCTCAAAACAATTGTCAACCAACACCATAATCAGAATTTTCAATACAAATGTCAGGATAGTTACACTGTGTGGGGCGTAAACCTGGAGAACTACGAAAGCCATTATCCAGAAGATACAAGTGTTTATTAACAGCTGTCTACGCAAGATACTTCGGATCCGATGGCCAGACACTATCAGCAACAAGTTACTGTGGGAGACAACAAACCAGATTCCAGCGGAGGAAGAAATCAGGAAGAAGCGCTGGAAGTGGATTGGGCACACTTTGAGGAAATCACCCAATTGTGTCACAAGACAAGCCCTCACATGGAATCCTGAAGGTCGAAGGAGAAGAGGAAGACCAAAGAACACATTACACCGAGAAATAGAGACAGACATGAGAAGAATGAACAAGAACTGGAAAGAACTAGAAAAGAAGGCCCAGGACAGAGTGGGTTGGAGAAAGCTGGTCGGCGGCCTATGCTCCATTGGGAGTAACAGGCGAAAGTAAGTAAGTAAGTAAGTATTATGAATCGTTTATATATACATATATATATACGCATATTGACAATTAGCGTAATACTTGTATGCATGTAGGATATTGGTGATTTCATGTGGAATGAATGCGTCACAAGGCAGGCCCTCACATGGAATCCTGAATGCCAAATGAAAAGAGGAAGACCAAAGAACATATTACGCCGAGAAATGGAGACAGGCATGAGAAGAATGAACAAAAATTGGATAGAACTAGAAAGGAAGGCCCAGGACAGAGTGGGTTGGAGAATGATGGTCGGCGGCCTATGGGAGTAACAGGCGTAAGTAGGAAAGTAATGTGGAGTGAATGTAATACTGTTTCTAATTTTCTCTTCTGAATTTTCTTGATTAGTAACAATTCGTTCGATAGAAAAAAGAAGACTTTTAAGAGCCAATTTTATTTAAGAAATCATCGTTTGCCTAATACCTTTACAATATTATTTACGCAGTATATAAAGGAAGGTTTGTATGTTGTTATAAACGATTTTTTTAACTAAAAAGATGTTGATTCGCTTGAATCATGATTAAACTTCATTGAACTAAATACAATCTTTAGTACTGATTTCAGTTTAACACTATTTGTTAAACAATAATTAGATCAAATAGTTTATGAGTTGAAATCCTAACATTTCGTAGTATTAAAGCTCTGGCTTGAGACTGATAGGTTCTGGGTTCGAACCTTGCGAGGCGAGATCGTGGATGCGCACTACTGAGGAAACCCACAATAGGACGAAACGGCCGTCCAGTGCTTTCAGGTTTTCCATGGTGGTCTAGCTTCAATTGACTCATGATTTCAACTATAAAAATACTGAAAATCTCCACAAAACCCCTTCTGAAATAAAATAATGTTATTGTTATATCCTAGTGAAGACATAAGTACGGGTAACTTCCGGGATCTATTAATGGGCTATTATTCTATATATCTTGTTATTGTATAACGATTCAGTGGTTACATTTAATCTACATATATTCATCTTATTATAAGCTTTTTGGCTTATGGATTATTATTATACGATTTACTGTCCCTAAATTATATTCAGTTTATTGATTATTGTATCCCACGTTCACAGACACATTTTGGCTTGATCTGGTATGATGCGATTTGTCTGTCTGGTACATAAACTGAGTATGCTTGAAATAAATGATTCGCATAGAAGAAACTGTAATTCATGTTCTGGAATCAATTGAACGGACTAGGCGGACAAGGGACCAATAGGGACGCTAGACTGCTCATACCGGTCGAATGTCATTGATTTGGCACCGTGCTAAGATTGGAAATGTTGTATTACGATTTGGTGGATAAATCATGTGATAAAAAGCCGGACATAAAATCATAACAGTTATTGATAAGAATTTTCATAAACATATGTAAAGTTCAACATTTCTCATAGTTTAAACTATTCAATAATAATATAACTTACCTACAATACAAAATGGTCTTCTTGCAAAATGTAATCTTCCACGCCATGTTTGATATCTGGATCGGCAACCAGCACTCCACAAACGTAAACAATATTCAGCAAAAAACCAAAATAATATTACAAGTTCCTTTAATACATAAAATCAGAAATAATAAAAAAAATATTTTCAATTTTATGTATAGAATCATATCGATATTAATGAATAGATTAGAAATGTTCATTACATTATGAGTAAAACATATCATCTATAAAATAAGAAAAAAAACTTTTATTAGTTGAGATCATGAGTCAATTGAAGTTAGACCATCATGACAAATTTGGAAGAACTGGATGGTTGTTTCGTCCTATTATGGAACTCCTCAGCAGTGTGTATCAATCATCCTGGCTCACGACATCCGAATTATTAATTTTATATATTATTCTAAAAGAATATGGTAAATAACCAGCATGAAATACACTTGTGGTATATGTTACTTATATCTACATAAGTAGTATATGGTGATGATTAGGCGTAGAATGTATTTCAGGAGAAAATCGATAACGGGAGAGCGGGAACGAAACGCAATTCGTATGAAAATACATGAGCAATAATAATCAGAGACAATAGATTAATATTTGCACAAGGAATGATCAAGATTGAGACAATTGATTTATAGTTTGCAAATTAACTGTGTTCTATTCACTACACACTCACTTAACATTATTAATTAACAACTAAAACTTAATACATAATGGATTTTTAAAAGTTATACTATTAAAACAAAGTTTTATATATTATAAGCAAAGGTGGAGTCCAGGACACGAGTTTCGTACGATTTGGGACTCGTCAGCTAGATGTACCTGCATCTTAGAGTTGATGTTCACTCTGGGACTCGACCCCAATACCTTTCGCTTCAAACGCCATCGCATTATTCCCTCAACTACTGAGTCCTGATAGCCACTTGCTTGTGCAACGGGGTGAAGTTTGAATCCACTTAGTATTGTATGTTTGAAGTTTCATATTATTATCATTCTGTTATATATATAAGATATTTCACGTTTAGTTAATAAAAATAAGTAGAACGTTTTAAATAGTTAAACATGGATGCAAAATTATGAAAAAATTGTTGGTTTGCATTACGATTATTGTCATCAACAGAGGACTAACCGTGAAACTATTGCGTCACATATATTTGTACACAATATATATATATATATATATATATATATATATATATATGAATAATAAGATTTACCCCTATGTCATATCAACACTAATTATTTTAATGTAATTAAACCATAACTAAATTATAGAATCATCAGAAGTTTTAAACATTGAATAAATTCAATTTTTTGAAGATGATATTTAGTTATTAAATAAACAAGATTAATATATCTGAGTGATCATTTTATAGCGCGTAATTTGTATAAAACAAACAAACTAGTATCTATGGTATCCATCTAAATAAATAATTTAGAAACATAAACAAAATGATGATAATATTGCAAAACCGCTAAATTGATGGACTAGATGTATCAAAATAATAATAATATTCAAAGTTGAAATCATGAGTCAATTGAAGCTAGACCACCATCGAAAACCTGGAAGCACTGGACGGCCGTTTCGTCCTATTATGAGACTCCTCAGCAGTGCGCATCCACGAACCCACTCTCGCGGGATTCGAACCCAGGACCTAATAATAATATTACTATTATTATTATTGATGATGATGATAAGTGAATTAGGTTTGGTAAATAAATATTCACTGTCGAATGCAAAGTCTAAAAACAAGTTTTTTTTAAAGATAACTTGTAAAATGTGTTGCTAACCAATGGACCTTTATTCGCCTTCTAAAAATTTACTAAAATCTTCACGAATCCGCCTTCTGGTAATGATCATATGCTGACTAGTGACTGGCTCCATGAGGTAATTGCTTTAGTTCTAGTGAGAAGTCGTGACCAATGGCGCTAATCCATGTCAGGTAGAGACAGGTATCTACCTCAGTAGAATTGAAATTGGTTGCGCAATTTCGTGGATTGGTTGAGGTAAGACATTAACACCATTGGATACCGGCCGGCTCAGTGGTCTAAAGGTTTAGTGCTAGCGCGTGAGACTGGTAGGTCCTGGATTCGAATCTCATGAGGCGGGATCGTGGATGCGCACAATTGGACGAAACGGCCGTCCAGTACTTCGAGGTTTTCCATGGTTGTCTAGCCTCATTTGACTCATGATCTCAACTATATAAAGTTCAAAGTGCTTAATTTTTTCTTATTTATTTGTTTAAATTCAGCACAAATTTAAGGGTAATGATGATGATTACGTGTAATCATGGATAAATAAATATTTCATAGATCAACTTCATGTGATAAAAATCCACTTGTAATTCTCAATGAAAAAAAATTTCTGTTTCATATTTATAAATGTTGGACAAATATATAACTAATCAATTCCTGTTAGTATTGTTTGGATGAATCTTCCCATTGATGTTTAGAACTTCAATTGATCAGTGTCTTATTGACATACTGCATCCTATGAGGACTGCCTGAAGTGACAAGGTTTATAAACAAAGATAAATAGTGGCTAGGAATGAAATGCAGGACGCGCGTTTTGTCTTATTTGTCACTCGTCAGTGGGATGTACCTGCATCCCAGAGGTGATGTTCATTGTGAGATCTGAATTCGGTATCGTTCGTTTTAAACGTCATCGCATTATTCACTTAGCTAGTATGTCCTATCAGCTCATGTTTTCAAACATTTTTTTAAACTTATTGTCACAGTGTTTACACATTTCTACCTTATGATTTCCATCACATTGTTCATATAACTAATTATTGAATGATTTCAGAAAATGTCCAATATTTAGAACCCATCTGGAACTAACAGATTTGTAGAATAAATAGGTCTTTTATAATTTTAGCAATAAAGTTAATGTGAAACCTGAATTTCAATCACGAAACTTATAAATATCTCTTTTTGTTACTATATTGTTTTATAGTTGAAAGCGTGAGTCAATCGAAGCTGGACCACCATGGAAAACCTGGAAGCACTGGACGGCCGTTTCGTCCTATTGTGGGACTGCTCAGTAGTGCGCATCTACGACCTCGCCGTTTTTGGCCTTTAAATGTACTCTAATAAGTGTGCTTTTTCTTAAATTTAAATTAAACTGGAACCAGTACAATGAACTTTCTTGTATTATATATATATATATATATATATATATATATATATATATATATATATCAGTCAATCAGCTACAACGTAGGACCAGGCACATATATGCATCGGTCCAAGTTGCCATATCTCGTTAGCACAACAAGATGAACACTGGATTCATAGAAGTAATTAATTTAGTGGTGGTAGTAGTATATAAATTATAGGTTGTATATAAGGATATAGTACAGGAAGGAGGAGAGATACGAAGCAATTTTAGTCTCAAGGTTTAAGGGAAGATAAAGAGTGTATACACCTACGCCATTGTGATCGATTCTGAGCCATGACACCTAGAGTCTCCAACCATTGTTTACGATAGTCACGCGGACCCCAACCAGGTAGTCTGCATCTGCCAACATGGCTCAGGCTAGAAGTTAGTGACTTCAAACACTGATGCCATGTTTTGGTTTGGCCGCCCCTAACTCTCTTCCAACAATCCCCAGTACTAGTCAGCATATAATGTTACCGAATTCTCGACATACCTAGATACTCTCTTAAGGATTAGATCATATATACTATAATAGAAAGTTTTATATGTTATACAAAATACTCGTGTATATTTTATTACTGAATCAATAAATGCGTATAATCGGCTGTCATACACTAATATATTTTTCATATCACTATAAATACGAATGTAAAGCTTAAGTAAATCTTTTCATTGAGAAGAAAATTTTCTTTGCTAAATTCTCTTTATTCTTATTGAATAATACAATTGGTTATTTTAATACCGTATCATGTCACATATATATAAAGGCGGCCTGCTTGAATATCTGAGCTACCTATTCCTGCTATCTACATATTTCAACAAGTTATTTTGTTTTGTTTTTTTTGTTTTAACAGATCATTATGTCAATTAATTGCATAACCTATTCAATTGCATTCGTGAAAAGTTTACGACCTTTCACTGTACAAATTACAAAAATATACAATAGGTGACATCGTGATGGCTGGCAATGTACATTGAAAAGAATGAATATTATTCAGATGACGACTTGTGAAATATTAATATATAACTAGTGATCACTCAATATTTCTCGTCAATATCGATCAAGAAATAAGAAATGGAATGTCACTGAAATAATTTGTGCTGAAAATTGTATATTGTACCCAAAATATAAATTTGAATAAAGCTAATAATAATACCAACAACAACATGAGGAACAGTTTCGAGGTTAACAGTCTGCCTTATTATAATACTTTTTCTACTGATCAATATAAACAATTGGTGGCAAACAAATTGAAGTAATTATTAATATTTTCTGTCAGTTGATTTATAGTTTCTCACGTTAGTAATTAATAAAGAATAAAACAAAATTATTTCATTAAATTAATGATTATTTTTGTTGATTTTATTCATGGTTGTAATCAGATATTGAGAAATCACGAAATATAATGAATTCACGTTATTCTACTTTAACTATTGTTCTTAGCTTGGTTCAAATTCATAAAAGGAACCAATTCGTGAAAATTCAAATAGATCAAAATGGAACATAATAAATTAACAAACTACAAATGATAAAAATCAATAAGAACAACATATGTAAGCGAACAATTGTTTTCAATTAGATCGCCAAATAAAAACAATACGCAGTTCTATCTTGGCACATCTAATTGATAGTGGTCATATTGTCGATAAATTGAAATCATTTCAAGTGATCTATCGTATACCTCCATCGTTTCCCAACGGAGTTCGCTCCCGTCTACTTCATATAGCAGAAGCCATAGGGATTCGTACATTCCATCCCAATTTATGTGTACAGAAGAAATTCGTAACCCCCCTATCCCTTCCATGGCCGGACATAACTCAATAATTGACATTATTATTATTTGCAAAAATTTTTATTTTGGTTATCATTTTTTGTTTGTTTGTAATTTTCTACCTCTTTCCGTTTGTATTCTTCACTATCTATTTGCTTACATACTTCTTATTACGTAATGATTTTAATGTTTTGTGATTATTATTCTAAGTCTATTTATCCACGTTTGACCTCTTAATTCTTATGTTTAATTATTGATAAGACTTTTGTTATCATAATTTACTATTCTTACTACTATCAGTACACCTGTCTTCCCACTATCAACTTGTACTTTTAACTATTATTATGCTTGGTAACGTATTCTATTTCATTGTGATTATTATTGACTCAAATAGCCTTGATTGGTCTAACATTTTCATATAAATATTCATGTATATTAGAGTAAAGCCTGATGACGATCTAATTGAAAACAATTGTTCGCTTACATATGTTGTTCTAATTTTCACAATGGGAATCTTTAATATTCAAAAATCATTAAGACAAGAGTGGAAGATGAGGGAGGAAATATGACCTTTTTCAATATTTATGTATTTATCATAGTTGAAAGCTTGAGTCAATTGAAGCTAGATCACCATGGAAAACCTGGAAACACTGGACGGCCGTTTCGTCCTATTATGGGACTCCTCAGCAGTGCGCATCCACGAACCCACTCTCGCGAGATTCAAACCCAGTTGAAGTTAGACATTAACACCGTTGGATGCCAGCTCAGTGGTCTATCGGTTAAGGGCTTCCGCTCGAGACTGGTAGGTCCTGGGTTCGAATCTCGCGAGAGCGGGTTCTTGGATGAGCACTGCTGAGGAGTCCCATAATGAGACGAAACGGCCGTCCAGTGCTTCCAGGTTTTCGATAGTGGTCTAGCTTCAATTGACTCACGCTTTCAACTATGATAAATACTAAATCTCCACAAAACCCCTTCTGATAATTTATGTATTTATTTATTATTTTATTTTATTTATTATTATTAGCTTTATTCAATATTATATTTTTGGTACAATATAGAATTCTCAGCAAAAAGTACTTCAACAATTTTCCGTTTCTTACTTCTTCGTCCTTCCTGACTATAAATATTGAGTGATCGCCGGTTAAAAGTTAGCAGCCCAGTCAATCGACATCTGAATAATGTACATTCTTCTTTCTGCATATTGCCAGCAAACACGATATCTCTAATTAGGCCTTCTATAGCGTTTACAGTGAAAGGTCTTACACTTTTTAGAAACGCAATTGAATAGGTTTTACGATTAATAGGCATAATGATGTATTAAAACAAACGAAATTAAATAACTTGTTGAAATATCTAGATGACAGGAACAGGTAGCCCATATGTTTAAACAGGCCGCCAAAGAAATATATATGTATATGTATACATGTATATATGTTTTTATGAGTCTATTCTTGCTTCCTGTACATTAAATCAAATTATCTAAATGTTTTAATTTAATCATGTTTGATCCTTAATCATTCAGTTAAGTATTATCTAATCAGAAGAGGGTTTTGTGGAAATTTTAGTAATTTTTTAGATAGTTGAAATCATGAGTCAATTGAAGCTGGACGACCATGGAAAACTTGGAAGCACAGGGTGGCCGTTTCGTCTTATTATGGGACTCCTCAGCAGTGCACATCCACGATTCAGCCTCGCGCGCGAGCACTTAACCTCTAGACCACGGAGCCGGTCGGCATCCAACGATTTTAATGTCTAACTTATTTGTTTACATAATTCAAGTTTGTTTAATAAATTAAAATTTTATTGGTCAACTATTTCAAAAATTACAGTGAATAAGTTCTTTGAGTTGTGCTTTTTTTGTTTTTTTAAAAAAAGGTTATTTTTTCGAAAATCTAGTTCAAAAGTGTACATTAACTAATATGTAGTTGATAGTTGTCCACAACAATTAATAAAGGAATGAATATTGACCTTCAATTAATTACTATTTGAAGAGGGATTTTGTGGAGAATTTAGTAATTTTATAGTTGAAATAATGAATCAATTGAAGCTAGATCACTGCTTCCAGGTTTTTCATGATGGTCTAGCTTCAATTGACTCATGATTTCAACTATAAAATTACTGTTTTTTTCTAAATAGGGACACATGAAGCGTATTATTTATGTATTCAATTACTTTATCATATAAAGTGATTCTAAGCTAATGTCAAAAAAAGTTATTGAGCAAATTTTTCATACTACTTACTATGGAACTAGACTGTTTATAGTTTGATTTAATGATAAATAATTTCGAGAACTATTGCAAAATCCTACATTTAGAAAAAAGTCGTCCAGCTCATTCTGATGCTTAACATTTTTGGAGCTGGAGTCATTTTAAGACATGACGCTACTTCTCAATGGTATTAATATTCACAAACTAAGCTTTAATTATCTTCTAACTTGTTAATACAGAGCTACCGAAATTAAATTGATTAATATTCCTCTTTCTCCACATAAATCGTTCTGGTCTTCTTCGATTTCATTTCAAATGTTTTCCTATATTTTCAACTAAATAAGTTCCAGTGAGAAGCTGTGACCAGTGGAGTGCAATCTGTGCCAGGTGGAGACAGTTATCCACTTCAGACAATGAATGGAGGGTTGAGCATGATCATGGATCGATCGAAGTTAGAAATTAACACGGTTGGATGCCGGTCGGCTCAGTGGTCTACATGTTACGTGTTTGCACGCAAGATCAAAGATCTTGGGTTTGAATCACACGTGCGGGGTCGTAGATAAGCACTGTTGAGGAGTCCTATACTAAGACGAAACGGTTGTCCAGTGGTTCTAGGTTTTCCGTGTTGGTGTTACGTCCTTGATCTTTCTATCCACTTTCGTGCAGAGAATAAATTGTCTAATGTAGATTAGCAGTTTAAAGATCCCCATAGAATATTCAAAAATGTACAATGTAGATTAAGACCTTGACGCAATAGGCTGACTGCCTTAACCTTGAGGCTAGTATTCGTGAGTTCAAAGTGAGATCAACCGCTTGGGGTAGGGAGACGAAAACCATTCTATCACCTAATTGGCTGACAAACACGCACGCATGAATGAGAGAAGACAAAGCCAACTGGAGCACTACTCGACTTATTTCCAATTCCGATCTGGTTTCCGACTTCAGATTAGTGTAAAAAGATACATGAATAAATAGATGACTAATCTGACCACAAAGCACAACAATTAGGAAAATACAATTATGTCCAAAACTGGGGATTGGAGTAGAAAATAGAGTATCAAAGAATAAATTTAAATTACAATAGCTTTGGGACAGAAAAGCCAATGGCAGTGAATCATACATCAAGCGAAAGCTTATGGTCTGTAGAATAGACTAGGGACAAAAGTAAATGTAGTTGTTTTACAAGCTTTGAATTAAATGAAATAACGTCCCCAAAAATAGCTTCCGTAGTTTGTCAAGGTTTCTTGTTTCTCTATTTACATCAGGTGGTCCAGCTTAAATCGACACATGAATTCACCTATTACAGTTACTAAAATATCCATAAATCTCTATTCTGTAAATAAGATATGTTTATTGTTTAATTGCATCATTTGTATAATTTATTAAAATGTGAATGCAGTCTTTATTGTACATTTAATTTTACTTTAGTGCCATGGAAGTTATGAGGAATAAAAAGGCTGTGGACTCCTTAAAAGCATCCACCCACTACCCCATAATAACTATACTGGAAAACGTTGAGTCTGGGAACTAGCACTATACGTTTAGGTTTCTTGATACGAATCAACTGTCTCGTAAATATAAATTCACAAACTATTCAACCAATAAGTGGCTGAATGACCAATAAAAAACTGATTTCTAAGAAGTTAAGTAAGAATCACCTCTAGTGTGATATAAACGTCATTGATGGGGCTGTATAGCGGTGTCGAAGTGAAACACTGAATTTTAGCTCAACATTAAATAGTTATAAAGCTTCATATGATAAACAAATAGTTGTCAATGTTCCCTGATGAGAATTCCAAGAACAGAACGAAACACTTGTTCATTGCTATTTGTTTTAGTGATTTGCAAATTGATTCCAATCCTTGATGAAATCTACTATGAAACAGTATTGATATCCGAAAGCTTAAAACACAAGTAAGACAAATTAAGAATAATATACTTCTATAAGACTTGTTTTATACTTATTTCTATAAGACTTTACATAAATCGAAAAGTAGCCATGACACATAATGATCAGGAAAAATAAGTTTTAGCTAACTTCTTTGAGAGATGTTATTTGGCTTTAACAGTAACAATAATGATTATCCGTTATAGATATTCAACATCCTAGCTTTCACTTAATTTTGATATTACTATAAGTGCAGTAGATTGTCAGAAATTAGTCTATAATAAATGGAGTCGATATTTACTCAGGTTTGGTAGTCGACCTATTACTGTTAGACCGCTTTGAATAAACTTGATAATGATTTATGAATAATGAATATTTTTCACATTTTAAATGACAACGTTCATTCATTATTAACTTTCTTAATCATTAACTCTTACAAGAAGTTTATACATTCTGTGTATGTTGATCGTTTCAGATATCTTCGAATTCTCATTGTTTTTAAATTATTTTATAGAGTTGAGATCATGAATCAATTGAAGCTAGACCACTATCGAAAAACTGGAAGCACTGGACGGCCGTTTCTTCCTATGATGGGACTCCTCAATAGTGCGTATCCACGACCCCGCACTCACAAGATTCGAACCCAGAACCTACCAGTCTCACGCCAGAGTACTTAACCGATTAAATTATTGTGAATTGTAATAATTCGTAATGACTGACATGTTGTTTCCATCATTATATTAATCTTTATCTGAATCCTATTTGTCAAAAAAAGGAAATACATAGAATTAATATCAAAAAGTACATGGCTTAAATTAGACAAACTTCAATATCTAATTATTACTAATACACACTAAAAGGTGGAAGAAAAACGATATATTCAAATAAGTAAATATAATATTTCTTACCATATAAAGTAAAACTCGTCCAGCTGATTCTGCATATTCATTAATAGTAGATAATACACTAAGAATAAGACATCCAAAGACTGAAGCAAATCTATATTATGATAAAAGAAAATGTAGGGAGAAATAAATTAGATACTGAACAGTTTCAATTCTAAACATCAATGGAAAGATTCAAACAAACAATACCAAGTGAAATTAAGTTTTCCAAAAGAATAAAGTTGAAAATAATTTTTCCATTTATTGATAATGAAATGCTGTGAATTATTTACAGTAAAAGTAATAGACAATCTGACATACTTTTCAATAAGTATATACTATCTGTTGCTATATTAAAAACAGGTCGAGAAATATAAGTAGTATGTATCATTAATCGAAAGTGAAATATATGGCTACAGAAGGTTAGAATAATCAATGATAAGAGAACGATAACAGAGAATGGTTGGTATGGAAACAAAAAAACAATCAAGTCTAAATTAACTACTTCTATGAATTCGGTGTTCATCTTGTTGTACTTATAAGGTATGGCAACTTGAACCGATGCATATATGTGCCTAGAAATACTGTAGGACAATCAACTATATAATTATACAAATTACAACGTTGCTTGATAAAATACAAAAACCATACTCTGTTACTCTATTTGCAAAATGTTCTTTAATTGTCTCAGGCTTCATTGTTCCTGGATTTCCACACCAATTGCTTTTTATTTCTGTTCTTCTCATTTTGATTTTCTCAATCTTCTGCTGTCAGATATTCTATTCCTTACTCATGATATATACTACTTATGTCGATATGAGTAGCCCACACCACAATACGTTGTAGCTGACTGACTGAATTAAACAATTGATTAAAATTTTTGGAAAAGAAATATTTATTGTATGATTCTCAGATTTTACTAAGAGATTCTATAATGTTGCGTTCGAATACATTTGACTGTTCTCACTGATGTTCTTATTCAATACATATTAACATAGGAAATCTAATGAAACTCTAACGGAAGTGATATATATGTTAAAGTGAGAATTTTTGTATCTAAATATGATAATTGTTTATATTAATTAAATTAACACAGACATTTACAGTAATATTCTTAATATGAGATGTTTTCCCTGGTTTTCCCTGGTGGTCTAGTTTCAATCGACTCACGCTTTCAAATGTGAAAATTATTTATGTTTAACAATATTAGACAGAAAAACAAAAAAAAATCATTGAAATTTTGTGAAAAATACAATTAAAAAATTTGTCCATTCATAAATATCTCTAAGAAACTTTCATAGTTGAGATAATGAATCAATTGAAGCTAGATCAGCATGGAAAACCTAGAAGCACTGGATGGCCATTTCGTCCTAATGTATGACTCCTCAACAGTGCGCATCCACGACCCCACGTCGCGAGATTTGAACACAGGACCTTTCAAACAAGTGGCTGTCAGGACTCAGTAGCTGAGTGGGTAACGCTATGGTGTTTGAAGCGAAAAGTAATGGGTATGAGTCTCAGATTGAACATCAACTCTGAGTTGCAGGTACATACAGCTGACGAGTCCCAAATAGCCACTATCCATCGTTCCTTACAACTCTTGTGAAATAAGGCTATATCGAGGTAATACGCACAGTATGCACATACGCTAATAAGAAACTGATCAGTTGCAGTCCTAAACCTAAATGGGCAGATTCAAACAAGTAATACTAAGTGAATTTACATTATATTGACTGTTTTCCATGTTGTTGTTGTTTTTAAACATTAAAACTGTAATCATAAAGTGTACTCCGTTTTTATGTTGTATTAATCAGCTAAAAGCATTAGTTTAGTTATTTTAAGTTTGCTAATATGATTAATTTTCATCTATTCATAGTTTGTATATAATTGAAGTGATAATAGTAAAATAAGCAATCAATTGGTTATAAAATGCTTTTTGTCGCATTTATTATCCTTATATGTTTTTACTAGAATATGTAATTTTATAATGATTATAAATGTTAACCTTAAAATGACCTAAATATGTCTTATGTTAGTGAAAAAAAAAGAATTTTCCACTAAATATGAATTAGGTTTCAGTGTGTCCTAAATGTAATGAACTATGACGCGAATGAACTTACGCCTGTTACCCCTCGTGGAGGAGCATAGGCCGCCCACCAGCATTCTTCACCCAACTCTGTCCTGGGCAATCTTTTCCAATTGTTATTCATCTTTTTCATATCTGCTTATTCCTTCAACTCCCAGGGCAGAGTTTAAATGGTCTGAATTATTTTTTCTGGTTAGCGTTCTTTTAGCGAGTTAGTTTTTCTACAGGATGGGGTCGCTAACCTCATGCCCAACCCTCCTCGTTTACCCAGACTTGGGAATGGCAGTAACTCTAAAAGAGCTGCAGGCGGAGTTATGACTCGAATGAAGGATATCTGTAATTACTAACTTACGCCTGTTACCCCTTATGGATGAGAAAAAGTCAAACACTGGCATTATCCATCGAACTCTGTTCTGAGAGATCCTATCCAGTTTCTATTCATTTTTTGGTGTCTGATTCCAATTCTCGAAGCAATGTGTTCCTTGGTCTTCCTCTTTTCGACTTCCCTTCAGCGTTCATTTGCGAATTCCAAATCGACTAAGTGCATCCATTCTATCCATTTTATTCTGTGCTATGAAGGTTTTCGTAGTGCAGTCAACCATCAGAAGCAAGAGAGAGAGTAAGCAGCCTTGCCTCACTCCGGTTGTCGTTCTGAATGCATCAGTCTACTGTTCTCCATTCACCACTTTGCACTGTAGTCTATCGTATGAGTTTTGGATAATGTTGACAATCTTCTCAGGGACTCCATGGTGTCGAAGAATTTTCCATAATGTTCTCCTACCTATGCTGTCAAACGCTTTCTTAAAGTCAATGAAATTGATGTACAGTAACGAATCGCACTCAATTGATTGTTTGGCGATTATCTATAGCGTTGCGATTTGGTCTCTGCTTGACCGATCCTGACGGAATCCGGTCTGTTTATCTCGACTTTGGGCGTCTATTGCATCTTTTATCCGGTTCAGCAACACTCCATTGGGAACTTATCTTGTTACCGTTAGTAATGTGATGCCTCTTTACTATGCACATTTGCTCAGATCTCCTTCTTTCGATATCTTGATGAGGTATCATTCTGTATAGTGTGTCGGTACTTGTTCCTCCTCAAACATTTTCTTGAATAGAAGGTGAAGCATGTTTGCAGCTACTTGTATATGTGACTCCAGTGCTTCAGCTGGTATATTGTCAGATTTTATTACACTTCCACTCTTAATTTGTCTGATGATCAGAATTGATTTCTTCGATCGTTGGTGGAGTGACATCTATAGGAATAAGTATGTGTGTGTTCTGCTTCGATAACCGGTCGATTCAACGGAGGTGGTCTATTCAAGAGTTACTCAAACAGTTCTACCTATCTGTTTCTGTGCTCTTGAATGTTATTGATTAGTTTATGTTCTTTGTCCTTTACCAGACTCTCTGGTTTATTATATTTCTTCTTCGTTATACAACATGGTTGACTGATATTTCCATCTGTTGCAGCCTTTCCTCTATCGTTGCTAGGTCTCCCACATATTTCTGCTTGTCATCTCGAATGCTCCTTTTCACTTGCTTGTTCATCCATCTTGTTCACCATATAACTCAGATAAAACAATTCTATCAAATGCATTTCTCACAGGTGAAAATCTCCCCTATCATATTTATTTCTAAAAAATATAAACAATTGATTGTTATTAATGTCGCCTATTTTATTCTAATCCTCTGAAAATTTAAGTACATTTTACAATTCATTTTAAACACAATTTTTTCTTCACTTTAATATGAACTTTATTTTGATTATCTATAAGAAGTTACCAAGGCAACAGAACGATATACATTAAGATGAATTTATTTTTTTGATAAATAGTTGTCTTCATTATAAATAAAGTTTTGAATAGGATACTTTCTAAACTTTCTCATATTGTTCATTTTTTTTTACAGTCAGTAGGATAGAAAATTATTCATTTAACTATTGAGTAGTTATTCTGCAATGATTTGAAAAACATGAAAAACATCAAAGTACTGGACGGCCATTTCGTCCTATTGTGGGACTCCTCATCAGTGCGCATCCATGATTCCACCTCGCAGGATTCGAACCCAGGACCTACCGGTCTCGCGCCAGAGCACTTAACCTCTAGACGACTGAGTCGGCCGGCATCCGATGGTATTAAATTTTAACCTTTTCTAATCCACGAAATTTCGCGGCCAACTTTCATTGTACTGAAATAGATACCTGTCTCTACCTGACATGGATTAGCTCCACTGGTCACGACTTCTCACTAGAACTCCGTGCTTCCATGTTTTCCATGGTAGTCTAGCTCCAATTGACTCAGGATCTCAACTATATGAAATTACTAAATATCCACAAAACCCCTTCTGATGATAGTGGATAAATTGTCTTAATTCATAAAAAGTAACCCATATTACATTGATTAATTATGACTCGTAAAGAATATTGATAATTGATACTGATCACTATTTGTTGATTATTTATTGACGTTAAAATACTATTTATACAAACAAGGGTAAGTTACTATTTGAAAGTAGAATTTAATACCTTTACCGATTTACGGCAACTATTAATTGATGTGATGTTTGAAGTTGATAAATAAGTGAGAAGCAGTGACTGGTGGAGTTCGACCAGGTCTGTTGTGAAATAGTCACTCACTGAAGACAACGGTCGATTGTTGCTCAGTTTCGTAGATTGATTGAAGTTAGATATTAACACCGTTGGATTCCGGCAGCCTCAGTGGTCTATCGGTTAAGTGCTATGGCGCGAGATCGGTACGTTCTGGGTTCGAATCCCCTAGGCAGGTTCATGTATGTTTACTGCTGAGGACCCCCATATTAGGACGAAACGGCCGTCCAGTGCTTCCAGGTTTTCCATAGTGGTCTAGCTTCAATTGACTGATGATTTCAACTATGAAAAAAGTTTTAGTCATCTATTTATAAAGTTGAAAAAAGTTTTGTTAGGCATAATTTGACTAACACCATAATTTGCTTTTTGTAATAAACATTTATCATGAATTGATGAAATATTCTTTACATTCACAATAAAA